GTACGTTTAGGAAACAGGAAGCAGTGTCTAGCACTAGAAAGATTCGTGTGGATTTGTCCTGGATTTGTGTGGGGGAGTCAAAGATAGAAAAGACTGCCTGGAAGGAGATCATAGAAGGACTTTGAGTCACTTTAAGATACTGGACGACTTTATTCAGTAGAAAACAGCAAGCTAGTGAACATCTAGGGAGAGAGGATGAACTTTATCTGACTCAGATTTTCCTAGAATATATCAGTTACAATAACTGAGAACTCCAAGTTACTGGGAATGTGTTATATGCCAGACATTAATACACTAATTATAATAATTATGTTAGCTGATGCTATTACTTATTAATATGTTAATTATATAATCCTTCATATAATTTATGTATTTAATTTTTAAAAGCACTGTAAATGTAACTAATATATTTATTTTAGAAATGATGACTGGGGGTGGGGTTAGAGAGATTCAATGCACAAGGTTAAAGAGGTCTTAGGAATGGAGTCTAGTGACAGGGAACTGGAAATTAGGTGATGGAAAATATTTTAATGTAGAGTTGGTGCTATTCAGAGTGACTGAATGTAAGAATTGAAAGAGAAAAGGAGAAAGTCCTACTTGGATACCAGTAATCAAAGTAGGAAGCACAGTTGAATGTTTGGTTTAGTTAATAAGGGATTCTGCTTTGAAAGGGTGGATGTGAAATGTTGGCCAGACAAGGCAGGTGGAGATGTGGAGCTGGTTATTGGTAATGTAAGCATGGAAGTGAATACAAGGTCATGTGTGGAGGTGAAGCTGGGAGTAATCAGAGCACTGATGAGAGGAGGTGTCTTGGGAGAGGGAGTAGAACAAGGAAAGGTTAAAAGGAGAGTGGTGTCCACCTGAGAATGGAGAGGTTAGCATGAGAAGGAAGAATCAGAAGGTTGGAAGAAACTAGGATGTGAAAGAGTAGTGAACGAACAGCCAGGGGTAGAGGAAGCTTCAGGAATAACAGGAGGTAGATAGGGTCATCCTTTTATACCAGAGAGGGGCTACTTAGGGATTGAAAGGAATGTTTTATTTGATGAGTAGGAGTTCATGGGTAGTTTTTGAAAACAATTTCAGTGGAGTAGAATGATCAAGACTTGAATATCAGGGGTTGAAGAATAAGTGAGTTGTAGAGAAATCTGAGGGACTACAAGGGATGAAGGAAACTTTTTATTAGGACAAGAGGAGGCCTAAGGAAGCTGAAGGAAAAAGGCAGTGAAGAGAGATTTTTTTTTTTTTTTTAAAGAGT